TATTTGTGCAATCATGGGGCAGTGTATCGTTGACGATTGTAATAGCAGATCTGATCACAATAGTGCTGAAATTTCATTCTTTAGGTAAGTAATAACATAAAAATATTTTATGCCATTTCGACGGCTTCGCGCAGCATTCTCCATCTCACATGCACTTATTTCCAGTGTTGGCTTCATGTTTTTTAGTGCCACGTTATTAACTGATGTAAATATACTTACAGGCTCATATTATCAACCGGCTATTTACAATTAGTTTTTTGTCACAATTGGTGTTTATTTTCATGATGGCTATTAAAAATAATTGTAAATATTGAACCCTCAACATATAATTTCAATAATAAACATATATTAATGTTAAATTACAGGTAATTAGTTACTGAGTAAAATTATATTAGGTACCCATTTTCTTGTTCTTATTCTCAGGTTTTCTAAAGAGGGTGGAAATTAAATTGGAAAGGGTCAAAGCCATTAAAAAAAAGATTGGGCGCCCTCAAAATCGTCTGTTATATGTTCTTTACATTTTCAAGAGAAGTTTATTAATAAAAACGGCGCTAGAAATTTATCCAAAAATGCAGTGCCAATTTTAAACTTGCCAAGAGTGATAAGCAAACTGTCGTTTAAAAAAGAAAAATGACAATTTAAGAAATAGAAATAAAAATATATTTTTTAAATAAGTTCTATAAAAACAGTACACCCAAGCTACAGAAAAATAAAATTGTGTATCATATATTAAAAAACTTTTTTAATGTGAATTTATTTCAAAAATATGGAAAAGAACTTGTGAGGACTGTATGTAAAAAGTATATGAAGTTAAAATATTTAAATCAGTAAAATCTACTAAAAGCAAACATTAAATAAACTAACATTACTTAGAGGACAATAAATATATATATAAATTATTTTGTAGGTTTATTTAAACAAAACATTAAAATATATTATTTTCTGAATTCCAAACTTGAAAAATTAATATTTGTCATAAGTGTAAAAATACTGTTTAATCCGGACCTGCTCAAAGTATGCGCGGTCAGATTACCTCACACACTCCACTTCCCCGCAATTTGGCTTCATCGGTTTCCATGCTTTGGGCTAGGAAACGTACTCTCTAGGTGCTCTGTGATGGGAACTTTGTCAGTGCTTTTCTCCAATGAATCGACATTCATTAAAAAGCAATCGCAGACTAACCAAACCCCTTATCATTGTAATCGGTGAAATTCTGTATTTCTAAAAATGTTAAAATAAACAGGGCGGTCCATTTAAAAAAACTGCCGACAACGTCGTATCTCTAAAAATAAATCAGATGTTGAAAACTAAAGTACGTCATTGAAAATAATAAAAATACTACAAAAATTTTTGTTAAAGGTATTTTTTAATCAAACCCCTGTATACAGGTGTTCCGACACATTTGACCAACCAGGTATATAAGATTCAATAAATGATTATAGTTCTTTTCATACATATTGTAGAAATAAAAAACTCTTTTATATTGCCGATAACTACAAAAACGGGATCGTAAATACTTCTCTGTTTAGCAGAACAGGGTCGTATTTAGGCAAAGTTTACAGAATATAATATTTAAGTCTCCCTTCGAGCAATTCACAACACACACAGACACAATGGCTATAAATTAAAAACAATTGCAGTGAATTACAAAAGTTACTCAATAAAAAACTTGCAATAGAATAAAAATCTCACTACTCAAAATTCTACTCTAAGAAATTACAATCACAGCATTGCAGCACCAACTCCTGCCCTGTACCGCGCAAACTGAGCCATCAGAAATTTAAAGTAATAAGTTCACTGTTTCTAATTGTTGATTGTCTCTGTCTCACATTAGGAATTTGAGAACAACGTACGTCTTAGAGAGATCGTCAAAATCTGTTTTCTTGCCAGCCCAGCTGTGTTGCCAAATGTTTCGGCGAGTTAGTATTGTATTAAAAATGGATAACATACATTTCAAAAATGTAGTGATTAATGCAATTATTCTTTAAATAAATGCATGCAAATTCAGCATATTCTTATATTTTCAGTCATAGCTTAATATTTTAAACGTAAGTAAATGAATAAATTAATTTCATTCAATTTAGCAATTATTCATTTAGGGAATATTTTTACAAATCGGCAACACAGGGCACACGTCGACGAATCAAGATCCCGCCCATCTAGGGTAAAGCGGAGCAACATTTAAATTGAATACGTGACAAGATATGTAATTATTGATTAATATCACTATTTCTCATTAATTTTGTATTTAATATATCTAGGTGAATGTACCTGATAAAAGTATTATGATTTATGCAATAAATTAGCTGTTATAACATTTATTTTCTACGGACATGTAAAAATTGTGTTGCCCCACTCTCCCCCTATCACACTTATCGGCAGGCTTTGATATTTTTTATGTCTACTATAAGTATGAAAAGAACTATACAAGCCAAGTAAGTAATTTTGTTTGGAATAGTAATTTTATTTTATTGACAATTAAATTTCGGAAAAATTATTTTAATATAGTAAGATGAAGATTACATTAAAACACAACATTCTGTTTCACCGGCTGGTGACTGGTATAATTTTTCACAAGATTTTATTCAACGAATTAGCGATCGTATATCACGGGCGTATACTCAACGGTTTGTCATTGTTCATGGTAAACGAATCATTAACATTGCTGACGCTAAGATTTAGAACCAGTCGTGCACGTTGGATTGTCTAAGCTCGGTGGCCCGTGGTTTGTAATCATTTATGAAGGCTCTGAAGAAAGACAACATTGTTGCAAAATATATTTTAATAAATACTTTCACAATAACATACATAATAAATTGCAAAATTCGATAGGAATTATTTGTGGAACTATGCAAAAATGTGTTTTATACAATTGTGACAGATTTTTTGCACAATATGGAGGACTATAATAATATAGTACCTATGAAGTGTTCTTAGTAGAAGATATTATTTTGAGGCCATTTTCTGTTAACTTTTCCTTGAGGCCTTAAACAATGATTTGCCGTTGTGCTTGGTTTTTCTGTGAATTGAAGAGGACAAATATATTTTCAATTTGATACTTGCTCTGCATATTATTTTAGAGCAGGCTTAATACGAATTGCCGGAATGGATGGATAGGACGAGGTGGGCTTGTAGTACGGCCGTCGCATTGTCCAGATCTCACACTCCTCGACTTATTTCTTTGGGGTTATATTAATGATGAAGATTGTGCTACATGTATTGTATCTGTATTTAGATTAAGCAACTATTTATAATTTTTAGAAGTAAAATAAAATTGCTCTGTAAATGGGGTAACTGTTGAGCAATAAAGCTATTATTATTATTATTATTATTATTATTATTATTATGTCCCTACCTATAAACTGTAAATCAGGAAAAAGTATTTTGATTTTTAAAATAATGTGGTATGTTTTCTTGTAATATGGTATTGCATAAGTATAGAGAATATCTTTAGGAGAATTTTTATTTTTGTTTGCAGTGCTCGAGTGTGGATAGAAACTTGCAATAGACTCGATTTATTGCCTAGGATTGTGGATGTATATAAGAATTATAGGCTTTGTGAACACCATTTCGAAACCAAATATATTGGTAAAGGGAATGTAAGAATAACCTTATTGCCAAACGGAATACCTATACAGTTTCCTCAACTTAGAAATGGGCAAGAAGAGCTAGAGGCAAAAATTGTGGAAGATTGTCCCAAAGAAGTTATTGCATTGTCAGGTACCTATTTTTAAAAAACTATTTCAAATATTGCAGAAAAATATTATATCTGTTTAATAAAAATAT